AGAGATGTACAAAGTCTAAGCCTGTGGTTTAACAGGGATTGGAGAAGGAAATGGAAACCCACTCCAGTATTCTTGCCTGGAGAATCCCAGAGACGGAGGAGCCTGGTGGGCTGTCTATGGGGTCGCACAGAGTCAGACACGAGTGAAGCGACTTAGCAGAAGCAGCAGCAGCAGAAAAAGTCTGTCTTCCAAGCCCCACTCCATACTATACCATGGTGGTCTGAATCTTCTTGAAACAGTGGTTCATGACTTTCTATCCTACAAAGTGTTGTGCTGTGCTGTGCTTAGTCATGTTCGACTCTCTGGGACCCCTTGGACCATAGCCCGCCAGGCTCCTCTGTCCTTGAGATTTCCTAGAGTGGGTTGCCATTTCCTCCTCTAGGAGATCTTCCGAACCCAGGGATCAAAACCATGGCTCCTGAGTCTCCGTCACTGGCAGGCATATTCTTTACCACTGAGCCACTTGGGAAACTCTATTTTTAAACATATATTTTTGTAGTATACCAACTTTGTGTTTTTGGAGAAAGGCATGGCAATCCACTCCAGTAGTCTTGCCTGGAGTATCCCATAGAAAGAGAGCCTGATGGGCTTATAGTCCATGCGGTTGCAAAGAGTCAGACATGACTGAAGTAACTTAGCATATAGCACATAGCACAACTTTGTGTTTTAACTTACAAAATTTGTTTGTTTTTCAAAGTTCCTCTCATTTGTTTCCTACATCCACTACTTTGTAATATCCTTTCAACAAACAAAAGAAACCACAGCCCACCCACTGTCCTATTCTCCTAATTTTGAAATAACCTTCTGTCTCAAAGAGGAAAGTTGGCAGGTAGAACATTTTCCTTGTGCAGTTTGTACCACAAGTGACAGATCACAGAGTAACTTCAAAGGACTCTGAGCCCACACACTACTATATATAAGACAGATAATCAACGAGGACACACTATACAGTACAGGGAACTCTGGGCGTCCCTAGCGGCTCAGATGGTAAAGAATCCGCCTGCAATGCAGGAGACCCGGGTTCGATCCCTGGGTTGGGAAGATCCCCTGGAGGAGGGCATGGCCACCCACTCTAGTATTCTTCCCTGGAGAATCCCCATGGACAGAGGAGCCCAGTGGGCTACATACAGTCCATGAGGTCACAAAGAGTCAGACACAACTGAGTGACTAAGCACAGTACAGGGAACTCTCCTCAGGAGTCTGTGATAACCTACATGAGAAGAGAATCTGAAAAACAGTGAATATATGTTTGTGTATAACTGAGTCACTTTGTTGTACACCTGAAATAAAACAGGATTGTAAATCAAATATACTTCAATAAAAAAATTTTTTAAAAGCACAGATCACTCTTAAAATCACACCGGGTCAGGAGGCAGGGTGAGGGCTGGGATCTGTGGATCTAGGCAGACAAGGGTGTCTGGGTCACTCTGACTCTGGTCCTGTGTGGAGTCATCCACCCTTCTCAGGACACCCTCTGGAGCGACCCACTCAGAGGACAGATCTTCTCCCCTGGGTCACATTCCTACCACACGCCCAGTCACTGTCCCATCAATGTGAGAGACATGGAGCTGTCAGGACATCTCTGGAGCTGCACCTGGGTACCCTCTCTGCTGTGCATGAATCTGGATTTTGATTCACAAGTGAGGCCACAAACTACTTGATTAATTTATGTTGTATCTTTATTTTTAGGCACACGAGGAGGGCAAGGCCCTCCACAGTGCCTGAAAGGAAGACATGGAGGCCACATTTCCTTTCTCTGCCTCCTGTCTACTCTTCCTACCGCACTGATACTCATTTCTGGAAGACTGCAGCTATCAAGGACTGAGAATCATGGGGCAGCGTTAGGATTGCCTGGGGTTCTCACTTTCCTGTAACACGGGCCGATTTAATATTATGATTCAGTCTTGTTTCCCAAGGGCACTGGCAACTCCCCCGGTGAGCTGACGTCTAACGGGTCGGGAACCAGGCGAGCCCGACCTCGGCGGCCTTTGACCTCTAGGCGCTCACAGACTGGCTTCCATAGGAATCTGCTGAGAGACAAAAGAGTAGACCCTGTTCTGCCGGCCCGGGGCTGAGTCAGGGGCTGGGCTGGGGGCGGGGCCGAGAAGAGGGGCGGGTGCTTCCGGGCCGCTTTCTCCCGGATTCAGAAGACGTTTCAAGCCTAACTGCAGTGGAGCTTCTGCACTCTGAGCATCATAACCTGCACCATGCCCATGATCCTGGGTTACTGGGACATCCGCGGGGTAAGCAGGGGTCCCCCAGGGCGGGGAAGATGGAGGCGGGTGGGGAAATGCTTCGCCACGCTGGGAAAGTGCTGCAAAGTTGAGGTCGGTTCAAACCAGAAACTTCCAGAGGACTTGCTGCCGCGGAACCCCTCTCCCCTCAACCCGATCATCTTATCTGGGTGTTGGCATGTGTGTGTGGCGTGGGTGGGCTGGTGCAGGTGATGGTGCTGAGGGAGTTGGAGGTGTGGAAGTGACCTGGAACAGTGAGAGTTTTGCAGTCAAGACTGACGTCTGCCCTCTGTCCCACCATCTCTCCCAGCTGGCCCATGCCATCCGCCTTCTCCTGGAGTACACAGACACAAACTATGAGGAGAGACAGTACTCGGTAGGAGATGGTAATGGAATCCTTTTCCTATTCTAACTTCTGCTCAACTCATGCTGATTTGTTGCCAAGCAACTCATATTCTGCCCTTGTTACTCCCATCCTTTAACTCCACCAGCTGGAAAAGGGACTTGCCCCTTCCCAAACCCTTTGGGGGTGCAGCTGTCCCCCAAAGCAGGAAATGAGAGCCCCTTGGGCTCCACTTAGTGCTTGCATCAGCTCTCTGTAAGCCTAAACTCAGGGATGTTCCAAATCCTTCTAAGTGTGCTTTCCCCCAAAGCTCCATGTGAGATTAGAATCCAGTTCAAGATTCCAGATCCACTACTTTAGAGGTTCTTGCCTTTGATTCCTTGGTAGGTTCCCTGGGAAGGAGGGTTGGATTTGTGGGAAGTTGTTTCACTGCATCTTCTTGTTCTCAGCTCCCGACTATGACAGAAGCCAGTGGCTGAATGAAAAATTCAAGCTGGGCCTGGACTTCCCCAATGTAGGTGCAGGGGCTGGGGTGCTGGGAGGGGGAGTGGACAGTGTCTCCATCCATCTCCTTTCCTGGCTTAGAGGTTTCAGGAGCAGGTGCCTTCTGCTCTGTCTCTCAGCTTCCTGGTTCTCTCCCCTGCCCTTCCATGATGCTCTGTGTCCCAGCTCATCCCTCCATTTTACAGCATATTATTTAGTGCCCACCATAGTATTTAGGCTCTGTGAGGGCCAGGTTTCATCTCTGCCCTTGGTCAACGGAGGGGGTACTGGGGAGTCTGGTGGCCCAAATAACCAGACCCTGTTGTTCTTCCAGTTGCCCTACTTAATCGATGGGACTCACAAGCTCACCCAGAGCAACGCCATCCTTCGCTACATTGCTCGAAAGCACAACATGTGTGAGTGGGTCTGGGGTTGGGGGAGGGGTGCAGGTCGTCATGCCCTGGGCTGGCCTGGAGGGGATACTGAGGTTGAATCTCTGTTGTGTGACCACAGGTGGGGAGACAGAGGAGGAGATGATTCGTGTGGACATTTTGGAGAACCAAGTTATGGATGTCCGCTTTGCCATGGCCAGGGTCTGCTACAGCCCTGACTTTGTGAGTCCTGGCGGGACAGGGTGTGAGATGCTTGTCAGGATCTCATCTACTGGTCTTTTAGATTTTTTACTTCCTTAGAGCTACTTATCCACCAAGACATTTTCCTGAAAACTCTGATTCAGTTCTCACCAATAAGAAGAGTCTGGCTTCTCCTGGATGGAAATTCACTTCTTAGACAGGATATTTTCCTCCTTACTCCAGCACCTCCTCTCCGCATCTAAGGCCTAAACACATGTGTCCAGTGGGCAGCTCAGGGTTAGTCTTTATTCCTCTCCCTCCTTCCTTTCAGCTTCCAGTTCTCTCCAACTGTCCAGAAACTGCTCAGGCACCCACACCATTCCTGTCTCCCACACTGGAACATAGGACTTCTTTCCTAGTCATTTTAGTGTTGATCAGCCTGAGGTCTGAGGACCAAGCTCCACCAGGTCTCACAGCACTGCTGGTCTGACCCAGGGCAGGTGTCTGGAGCTGAGTGGTGTCAGGTCCAGGAACAGTGTGTTTTTGCTCTTTGCCTTCCCATTGCTTCTCACAGATGGGAGGTGGTACCCATAGGGGTCTGGTGAACACAGGTGGGTTAAATTGCCCCTGGGCCCTGACTCATGTCCAGTCAAGGGACATGAGTGCTCACCTGACAGCTGGGATCAGACACAGCCCTGGGAGGCCTGCTCTCTGCCAGGGAGTCTGTGTGTGAGGGTGGTGACAGCTGTTTTGTGTCTCAGGAGAAACTGAAGCCTGGTTTCTTGAAGGAGATCCCTGAAAAAATCAAGCTGTTCTCAGAGTTTCTGGGGAAGAGGCCTTGGTTTGCAGGGGACAAGGTAAGTTGGATGGCTTTGGGGGTGGGGTAGCTGTCATTTTCCCCAGGTTCAGAGTTGGGTCGGCATTCATGCTTTGTCTTCCTGCAGCTCACCTATGTGGATTTCCTGGTTTACGACGTCCTTGACATGCACCGCATATTTGAGCCCAAGTGCCTGGATGCATTCCCAAACCTGAAAGACTTCATTGCTCGTTTTGAGGTGATTCCCCTGAACTCCTTAGTATTTACATCTTTCTTCTCTTTCTTATTCTCCCTGATTTCCTAGTTGGAACTACAATGAAGAATAGCATTTATGGAGAATTTTGTTTATCAGAATCTCTCCTCAGTTACTGACGTGTATTGTGCCACTTTTAATCTTTATAACATTCCTACGTGTAGAACAATTATCCTCTCCATTTTACAGATAATGAATTAAGCTAAAACTATAAGTAATTTCTGAAGGTCACACAACCAGTACAGGCTGTACTGGGTTCCTAGTCAGACCATCTGGCTTCTATGGGCAGCAGTCAGACCTCTCCATTTCCTGTACTGAAATGAAAAGCTCTGGTCCTTTTATTGTCTGGGTTCACAGTTCTGGAAAGTGTGTAGGAAGCAGAATATTCAGGAGATGGTATGCAGCTGGCATTAGTAGAATGAGACACAATAGGATTGATATCAAGTACTAAAAACACATACAATATATTCTGATCTCTAAAGGACTCTGCAGCAATTGAGCCTCCACCTGTTGTTCTGAGATTGTCAGATCTATAGTTGGTGCTGGGATTTGGGTACATACAGAGGTGTCCTGTGCAAGGATTTCATCTTGACACCTCTTATGGTGGGCAGTTCCGTCACTTCTCATCTCTAGTCCCTTTTTCCTTCATGTTAACTCCAGATTCCATCTCAGAGGTGCGATAGTGCATTCATTTTAAGTCACGTTCACTGATCGGATCCTCTCCCCTGTATGAGACACTGTGTCAGGCACAGTGGGGTACAGAAGTCATGCAGTCCTGGTGCCCAGCCTCTTGGGCTCAGTGCAGCTGGAGAACTACAGGGACCCCAAGCCGTGTGGTGTGGGTGGGGCCAGCTTGGTTCTGGAGGAGCACAGCCTGACCTCACCTCCCAGCTCATCATTCACCCAACTGGACAGCAGCAGAGTCTGCTTTGTGACTGATATGGGAATTTGAAGCTCTCGTCCAATAGGTTTTTTGGCCTACAATCTGTTTTGTATTCCTACTCCCCATCATGAAATTTGCTTTCTCAGCTAGTTCTCATCAGCTCTGGTTTTGGTCCAAGGCTTGTTGCCTTGAAAATTTTGCAAGAGCTGGGGTGGCTGCCCAGCAGAGAGGATGGGGACAGATGTGGGCTGCAGTGTGGCCTGTTGGGCCCTGGGCTGTGGGGCACAGGCAGCCCTAGATCGTGGAGTCCTGGGAACTCTTGGGCACTGTCTGTCTTGGGAAAATGGTGCACAGGTACACCTGAGTGTCTCACTTTCTGGTTGGCTGTAGCAGGACTGAGGATGATGTGGGTTGAGGCCCAGTGAGAGTAGACTCAGGTCCCATGCCAGGCAGTTGGTCTGTGTCCTTTCAGTGGAATAATTAGAGTCTGGCCTGAGCTAGCCTTGCTGCTCCACACCCTCCTATCATGTTTCATCCATGTTTTCCTGAATAATTGGGTGAAATGTGGTCTCTTCTTTATGTTGCCTGGCCACTTTCTGAGCCCTTTTGTTTTGCTAGGCCCTTTTGTTTTTCATCCCTCTGTGGGCAAACCCTGTGATCTAGCAGCCTTTTCTCAGGAAGAGATTATTTTTGCTTGATGAGAAGAACAGATACTCCTATGATGAGATGTCGATGGAGAAACATTCGACACTACTTAACAGCAGTGAGTTTTGACTTTATTTGGAGACCCTCAATTTTGTTTGGAACCCAGGAGACAGCTTCTCATAGAGCTCTGAAGATGTAGGGTAGGAGACAGTAGGTATATGAGTTTTTGGCTGGGATATACATATAGTCAAGCATGCATCTTGGTAAAAGATTAGTGCTAATTATTGAAAAACAAACATCTCAAGTTAATGATCTTAGTGCTTTTCTCTGTGTAGGAAGATGGGTAAATCTGGAGTCATGAAAATTCTTTTTTTGGGATGCATCCTAACTCTCTGGGGGCCCCGTGTCTAAAACACAGAATGTTTCATCCTGGTTTTCTTCATCCTGAAATCTCCTCAGGGTGGATTGTCTATGGTTGACTGCAGTAGATTGCAGCTTACCCCTTTCTATAACCAGTTAGGAGGGAATATCTTCAGGCTTTTTACTGTTCATGGAAACAACGTAAGATTTACATTCATTCTTTTATTTTCATAAATTTAAAAATGTTATTTATTTATTTTTGGCTGGGCTGGGTCTTCGTTGCTGGGCCTGGGCTTTCTCTAGTTGCAGGGAGCTCAGTCTGCTTTCTAGTTGCAGTGCTCCGGCTTCTAATGCAGTGGCTTTTCTTGTTGCAGAGCACCAGACTCTAGGCACTTGAGGTTCAGTAGTTGTGGCTCTCAGACTCTAGAGCATAGGCTCAGTTGCCCTGGGGCATGTGAAATCTTCCCAGACCAGGGATTGAACCCATGTCCCCTGTTTTGGCAGGCAGATTCTCAACCACTGGACCGCCAGGGAAGTCCTGCATTCTTGACAAATCCTTTACAAGGCTGTAAATTAGATTTTGGGTGAAGGAGCCTTTCAACTGTTTAAGAACACCTCTTTTCCATTTTTTCTTCCCTTTGGTGTTAGATTTATCTTATTAAGTTAATCAGGTTTAGTCTCAGGTCATTGTGTGCTATGTTTACATATCTGATATGAAGAGATTTTTAAAAATATGTAACTTTTTTTGGCTACATTGGGTGTTAGTTGTGTCATGTGAGGTCTTCCACCGTGGTGCTCAGGCTTCTTCTCCTTGTGGTGCGTGGGCTCCAGAGCAATGGGCTCAGTAGTTGTGGTGTGCGGGCTTAGTTGCCCCTGGGCATGTGGGATCTTAGTTCCTTGACCAGGAATTGAACTGCCTTCACTGCATTGGAAGGCAGATTCCTAACAGTGGGACCACCAGGGAAGTCCCCTGATATGTGGAGATTTGCAGGACAAACACAGTTGCTTTCAATTCCTGGAAGAACTGGGCTGCTACCTAAATGATAGCAAAAGATTGATTTGACCAACTACCTTTTTAAAAATTTTGCTTTTTTATATCAGTAGGAAAATTTCCAAGTAAACTGGAAATCAAAAGATTTCTATATTTTAGAATTTAGGGATCAGTGTATCGTGTCTTTAAATATTTGCAGAAGGCCCTCTTTCTGAGTGCACAAGTCAAACTCAGATCAATTTACCCTTGGTCGAAAACAAAACCAACCAACCAAACAAAACCTCCAAACCAAACTCCAATATTGCTTTTATTAGGCCCTGAATATTAGATTGCAATTTTAACCTTATGGTGTGTGGGCTCAGGTAACCCTATTGGTTTCCTCTGTTATATTTAATTAATGTTACCTGAGAGGCAGATTATATGCCCTGTTTTATGCCAGGCAGGGGAGCATTCCCCAGTGAGACATGTTTGTATATCCCCACAGTATAATCAGGTAAAAGAGATATAACCATCTTACATAAAGCCTGTTCAAATATACCACTTTTTAGTATGTTACTGAGTCCAAGTTTAGTCTGCTTGCTGCACAACAGGCCAATCATCTGAGAGACAAGGTGCAGACTAAGAACATGGCAGACTAATGTCTCAAAATAACCATCTTATCAGGGTCTGGATGCCAGGTTCTTTTATAGAACAGAGATGGGGGAGGTGAGGAAGTAAAGTGAAAAGGTCATTAATCTTGCAAATATCTCCTGGAATTGCCAGCCTTGGGGAGAGGATATGTTAATTTTTTCCTTCCTGTAGCCATCCACAGGTGGACAGGGTCCTGAACAAGGGCACTTTGGTCTAACATTCAGGCAGAGAGGCAGGGTTCCCCAAGGCAGGCTATTATTGTGGAGGGTATCCTTTTGGTGAACAAAAGCAATGGGAAGCAAAGTTTAAAGTAAAAGAAACAGATCTGGACTTCTCTGTTGGTGCAGTGGATAAGAATCTGCCTGCCAATGCAGGGGACATGGGTTCAATCCTTGTTCTGGGAAGATTCCACATGATGCAGTGCATCGAAGCCTGCACCACAGCTAATGAGCCCAGCTCTAGGACCTGAAAGCCACAACTACTAGTCTATGTGCTGCAACTACCTACTGCAGCCCACGCACCTGAGTCTGTGTGCCACAACAAGAGAAGCTGCTGCAATGAGAAAACTGCATCATAATGAAGAGTAGCCCTCACTGGCTGCACTAGAGAAAGCCCAGGCTCATAATGAAGACCCAGTGCAGCCAAAAAAAAAGATACAAATCTTAAAAAAAAATATATATATATATAAAGAAACAGATCCAACATGGAGGCAGATTTTGTTCTTCCCCGTAACAAAAAAACTTTCATCTCAATTCTATCAACTATTAATATTTTACCTTTAATCATAGCCCTTGTAAGGATCCTGTTAACAAGTCTTGGTCTTATAAGGAGTCCCAGAAATTTTCCTTTTTATTCCCTGGCCATTTTACCCAGTTCTGTCTCCAGTCGGGGGTTGAGCCAAGGGACCCAGGGTTTTTTGTCAGTCTTTATTGGATTGTTTGACATATTGCCCTGAGCAATTGCTGGTGAATTTTTCTACTGTCTTGCTTTTAAAATTTTCCTACACTGGGGTAAATAGAGTGGATTTGTTTGGGTCTCTTTAACATTTAAGGGAACTGATAAGGGGTCTTTTGGGCCTGTTCAAAACATCTTTTTTGGTAGTGTTGTATCAAAATCTTTGATTTCGTGCCATCAAAGTCTGTTTCATTTATCATACCTCTTAATAGCCATCTAAAGATTTTCATCCTATTGGGACCAGTTCCTTTAAAATTTCTACTTTGTAGGAAGAACTTATTTGACTTTCCCCTCAGCTTTTAACTACTTCCTTGTTAATTAACCTAATTAACTTTAGTTATTCTTTTGTTTTTATTAGCATATGTAAGAGCCACTGAGGGGAAGCTGAGACCACAAAACTCTGGGAATAATTTTTGTTGGTTGGTTGATTGATTTGAAACTAAAGAAGTTCTTAAGTTTAGCCACCATTATATATCTGTGTATCCACCCTTTAGTTTGATTTTTCCATAGGGACCCGGTAAACAACTGTTTTCAATGAGAGGTCTCTAAAAATTTACCAATTTAGCAGGTTTCCCAGTTTAAAGGATCCATTGTTAGAATTCTTAGTTATGATTTAAACCAATAAGAGGCAAGAGGAATCCCCGCAAGAGAGTGCAAAGGATGCAAGCTTCTCAAGAACCAGGAAGTTTACTTCCAAATATAGTCTAAGAAAGTAAAGGCCTTTGTTGTACAAGGAGACACAAGGAGGGTTGAAACGACAAAGACCCTTTATGAACTGGGACCCCTAATGACACATTTACCTAATGCTAGTGTAGCTGGACAAAAAGACTCTTGGAATCACAGTCTATGCAACTTGCTGCCAACCATACACCATGTGTACCTTCACAATTAGAGAGACTAAGCTTTCAAAGTACACTGGAAGATGCCTAAGAAGATGAGGTAGAACTTTTATGTCTCAAAGATACAGGGAGATGATGCAAGTTCTTCCTAGAAGGACTTTTGTTTCCTTAAGGTCAGAATTGGAAAACAAAACTTTTTTTGGCCAAAGTAATCACAATTTTACCAAGCCTTCTGAATCATTCAGTCTGTTTGATCTTATAACCCATTCCTCTAGCTGTGTACACACAAAAAACCTTAATTTTGAATGTCAAAGAACTCTTTTTTGACCATTTTTAGGATGAGATCTCCTTTGGTATAGTTTTCCCAATTAAGTAAGCATTTGCAAGTATAAACGCCACATGTACCTGTAATTACATATGTAATATACCTGAACCTGCCGGTAGTGTCAGTCTTAGGTTGTCAATCTGTCACCCCTCTTTCTTTTGTTTATAAAGCTTTGTTTCCCATTTCACAGTATGTTTGTCAGGATAAATTTCTTTTGATAAGTGCATGTGGTGGGCCCTTCTGCTGTTTGTGAGCTTAACTCTCCTCGTCGTCACCCTGTAGTCATTTCGGGTCTTTGATATGTCTCAGTTTCTTCTGACAGTCTGAGAACACTGTGGGCATTGGGAACACAGGTTGGCCAAGCCTTTTGTGTGTGTCCCTGGATGAGCAAGTTTCTTTAAAAAGTGGGATTCCTTATGGGATTACTGTGTGATATGAGGACTTGCCTCCCATCACTCCTGCAAGTTTCTCAACTGCCTGAAAAAGCCTTGCTTGGCCAGGAGGAGCTCTGTCCCTTATCTGTGGAGCTAAGAGATCTCATGTGGTATCTACACTATATTCCAACCAACTCTGGTAAATTAGCCAGTTCAAGGAAGGACACGAACCAGTCCCTGACCTACGCACCCAACCTGAACCTTCCCAGTGTCTCAGCTGGGTACTTTCTCAGCATCTCTAAAACGAGATGACAGGATGCTTTTTCATGTACCACTAAAGAAAACTCAGGATTGTCAACCAAGATGGTAAACCTGAGATCATGAGAGATTCACCTAAATTCATATGATCACGGACAGAGGTGGACCGACACAAGGGGCCTTGCTAGTACCAAGGCTCCGGCTCCTTTAAGGTTCCAATACCAGTAAGAGGTCTCATTTGGACTCCTTTGTGGTCACTATAACTGTCCACTGGAAACAAAGCCCACACAATGTAAGAGCAGTGAGTTTCCCTTTTATTTGGAGATGTGTATGCTAGGAGACACCCTCTCAGATATCTCAGATATCTCTGGGAAACTGCTTTCAGGAGGTGGAGGAGGAGGTCTGGGAAATAGGAGTAATCAATTATACATCTTGGTAAAGATTACTGCTAATCACCAATAGCTAGGGATCTCAAGTTACTGATTTTAGTGCTTTACTCTGCATAGAAAACTATACAAACCTAGGTCGATTAGAGTGCTTCTTTAGATGCATCTTAACTATCTAGGAACTATGTATCCAAAAGAGAGAATGTTTCATCTGTTTTTTTCCCATCCTGAATTCCCCTGCGGGCACACTGTTGGTGGGCAACTGCCAGGAGTGGTCACTTAACTGTATAAGTGGATGATGAGTGAGTCTCCTTGTTTTTTTTTTCCAGCTGTGAGGAAGGGGATGCAGCAGAGAGACCTCAGAATTGAGAGGGCGAGCAAGCAGGCTGCATTCTAGCCATATTACTTATGTTCAGCATGAGCATGAGGGAACTGCTTATCCTCTGTGTGCCTCAGTTTCCCTTCTGATAAATGGTCTCAGTAGAACCCATCTTGCAGGGTCATTTAGGGATTCTGAACCTATGTCATCATCTCTAGCAACAAGCGCTGGGTGGAGTCTCCATATGTCATGTTTTATCAAGATATCACTTGAATTACAAATAATTGGAAGAGTTAACTTTCCAGAGTTGGGGATACCAGGAGGATGGTCTTTTGTCCCAATATTTGACTCCACATGGACAGGCTGTATCTAGGTTCCAAACTTAGGGAGAACTGCATGAACCGTAGTGGAGCAGCCGACCTGAAGCCTGATCTTTTTCCCACCCTCAGGGCCTGAAGAAGATCTCTGCCTACATGCAGTCCAGCCGCTTCCTCCCAAGCCCTCTGTTCATGAAGCTTGCCGTGTGGGGCAACAAGTAATGCCTCCAACCAGGAGATGGGCGTGAGGAGCCAGGGCCCCGGAGACCAGGCAGACCTTCCTGCACACAGAACCTTCTGTCTTTTTCTTTCTCCTTCTGTTCACTCTAGATGGCTACTTGGCCCCCTTATCTTCCTCCCACCACCCTTTTCATCCATCCTTTAATTCAGTTTCCCACTTTTTTTTTCATTTTTTTTTTCGCAAAGGTCCTCCCCGACCCCACATTATCCCTCCTGCACTAAAGCCACCCAGACTATCCTTCCCTTCCACGGTTGCTTCTGCTGTGAGGAGCCCAGCCAGATTCCTGGCCCATGGAGCTCTGCTCTGAGCTCCCAGCACTGCCCTGAAGACCAGACCTGGCCTGGTGTGCAGTCCGTGCTTCCCAGTGTGGTTCTTGCCCAGCCTGTCTGATCCCCAGTAAAGCCTTATCACACCTGACCTGCTGTGTCTTGTCTTATTCCCTCCTGGCTTCCTGGAGTCATGACCGACGATGTTGGTGTGTGGTGCTGTCCATTTTCCCTTCTGTTGTGCTCTGCAGGGCTGCATGGATGGGCGTGTGTGCGTGTGTGTGTGTGTGTGTGGTGGGAGGTTGGGCACAGGTGGGATTATACTATTGCTTGTTCATTTCTATCTCCACTTCATCCACCTCTGTTTCTTAGCATGAGGTCTCTACCGAAGGGGGGTCCTTCTGGGCCTGGTTTCCTCTTTAATTCAGCATTTATGGGATGCCTCCTTTCAGCTTGTAGTACTCTGTGTCATGTTCAGGGGGCTCTTGGTTGCTGGTTAAGGGATCTGAGTAGTCTACTGACGGGTGTGGGATCCTGGTGTATTCGCTTCTGTCACCTTCTGGAAGTTTTCTCTGTTTTAGATACCCTTCATCTATGTTCTTACAACATATCTCAATAAAATTTGCCGCCACTGTATTATAATCATTGTTTTACTAGTTTTCTCTCTAACTTGGTCATAAAGACATTGAGGAAAGAATCCATTTCTTATTCAACTTTATATCTCACATCCATTATACTGCCTCACACACAGTATATGGTCAATAACAGTTGGAAACGTGAAAGAAGTATCTCTAGTTAAAACCCTGGGAAATTCTCAGACTAAATTTTATGGATTTAGAGCTCTGCATGTAGGTACCTAGCTTCCAGGTGGTACTAGTAAAGAACCCACCTGCCAATGCAGGAGATGTAAGAGATGCAGGGTTCGNTTTGACTTTAAATCTCATATCTATTATGCTGCCTGGCAAACAGCAAATAGTCATTAAAATTGTAAATATAAAAGAATTATCTCTAGTTAAAACCCGGGCAAACTCTATAGTCATTATATGGATTTACAGATCTGAATATGGTTATAGCCATTTGAGATAAAGAATACATTTCAGAAGATTTAAAATCTGTAGGTCTGGGGGAAAGATATTAGGTCTCACTAACTTAAGCATTTATTAGGTTGTAGCTGGGCCTTGGATAACTTGACCTGAAATGGGCAGATCTAGTGTGCTGGGCCAAAGTGTAGCCTATCTGTGCAATCAGGAGGTGGTGTGCCATTTTATGTTAGGATACCTGCAAAGTGTAGGACTCATCAGATAACAATATGATTAGCAGGCTCAAAGAGTGGCTGGATGGTGGAGTTGGACCTTGTTATGGCATGGCCTTAAGTCTTGACTTGGCCTAAAGTCTGATAGGCCTTGAGCTTTGGAGAAGAGTCCTGTTGGGTGTTTGTCTAGATGGTCATTTCTTGCAGTCACTGAATAAAAAGGTAGCAAAGGAATAATGTGAAATACAAGATTATTTTAAGAAATAAGAAACAAATGATTATTTAAAAAAGTGAAACTGCTAACAAAAAAGTCCAGTAAACTAAAAGCTAATGAAACTGACAAGTCAGTAAATGTTTTTGTCTTTGCCGGCCATGTGGTCTCCATTTTGGTATCAAATCATTCCGTGTGGTCTCAGCTGCTCACCTTTGTCTCTGTTGTGTGAAAGCAGCTGTAGATCGTACATAAATGAATGGATGGGTCTGCATGACAACAGAACTTCAAAAACAGATGGACTTATTTTCCTGACTCCAGATTTAGATGCTCAAATTAAAAGGGCATAGCTATATTAGAACTTAAATCTTAGATTCAGATGTAAAATGTGACGCTCAAAACAAGGCAATATGTGTTAATGAAGACAGATGAAGTGGAAACACATTTCTTTAAATGTGAAATTTTTCTTCTTAGTATTCCTTGTTTTTCATATGTTTCATCTTGAACTTGGTTCCTTTTCTAAATTCTTGAAATCTTAGTTTACCTCTTCTTATTCAAAATATGATGTCAATGGAAAAATTTTGTCTCATATATAATTTTGTAGTATCTTGTGAGCAGTTCTATTATTTTCAGGTTAAAAAATATTCTTTATATCCTGACTATCCTATGCTTACACAGACAATATTTAAAACCTTAAAAAATTAACAAGATGAAGGACACATTTAAATTCTACTGTATTTACACTATATAATTTTGCATTCTGAGGCTATTTCATATAGAAATTCTGTTAATTTATTTGAGAGTTCAGAATGTCAGCTGTAGAGCTGGAAGAATGGAATGTAGTATAGAGTCAAATCAGAGGCAGAATTCTCAATTGGATACTGGACACTATATGCTCTGATGTCCTGCTCAGTATTCTCTAAAATATTAGAACTTGTTAATATTTACAGTCAAGTGAGCACATGTAAATCCAGAAGACGTGACCACACTGACACTGAATATCAGCGAGGCAGCCACTGGCTGCATCACGCTCTCCAGCCCCCTGTCCAGTTTCCCGAGTCCCCTGCCCCCACTGCCTTCCACACACCCGCTGCCCCCAGCGGTGGGACCCCTGGGTCTGGGGGCCGAGTCTGAGAGCCTGCTCAGCCAGTCCTCCTCCTCCTGCAGAATTGACGTCTTCCTCCTGACGGGGCCGCCTGTGCTCGGGGCCCATCCCTGTCCTCAGTTCCTTGTCCTAGCAGACTCTGCCTCTTTCTCCTGCCTTCAACCTCCCTCCCTCTCAGCACCAGTTGGTGTTTGAACACTGACAATCTCTTCCATATTTAAAAATTCCTCCCTGTATTTCCCAGACTTCCAGCATTTATTACCCAGGGTGGTCTTACTTATGGTGCTGCTATATGTCAGGATTATAGTGATTGTTTTTTCAAAAAAGGAATGAGGGATGGATGGATGAATTACATTATATTACAATATCGCTTTACCTGTTTTAAATATTATTATTCTGTTTAATGTAGCTTTTAAAATAATTTTCTCAGTGAAATCGAGTTGTATTTCTGTTCAAAGCTCAAGATGTATAAAACTCAAAGTGGCAGCTCCCTAATGTATTGTGAAATGTGTGACTATTGTATGAGCCAGCACTTTTGTGTGACACAGACACCATCACCTCCCTGTGGGCCAACAAAAACAGTAATCTACCTGACCCTGAGCTGCATCCTGAGCCTGGACCCGGAGCTGAGCCCTGAGGACTGGCCGGGTGGGAATGGCTGGGACCATCCATGGAGGGACTGAGCTCTTCTGGTCTCTGCTGACACTCTCCCTGCTCCCCAGCGAAGCAGAGATGAGCAGACTCTAAGTCTGTGATTTAACAGGGTTTAGAGAATGCCTATCTTTCTTTGAAACCCCACTCCATACTGTATCTTAGTTATGTGAATCTTTATTGAACACTGGTCCAGACCTTTCTATCCTAACAAAGTGTAACCTATTTTTAAACATATTTTTTATCATGTACCAACTTTGTATTTCAACTTATAAAATTCATTTGTTTTTTTAATGTTGCTCTCATCTGTTTCCTACAGCTGTTACTTTGTAATATCCTTTCAATAAAGAAAAGAAATCACAGCCCACCCTATGTCCTATTCTCCTAATTTTGAAATAAACTTCTGCCTTCAAAGAGGAAAGTTGGCAGGTAGGACTTTATTCTTGTGCATGTTGTACCACAGGTCACAGATCACAGAGGGACTTCAAAGAACATTGAGCCCACATACTACTATATATAAGACAGGTAACCAGAAATGACCTAGTGCACAGCCCAGGGAACTCTACTCAATATTCTATGATAACCTGTATGAGAAGAGAATCTGAAAAAGTGAATATATACATACACACACACACACACACACACACATATATATATATATATATATAAAACTGAATCACTTTGTTGTACACCTGAAACTAACACAAGATTGTAAATCAACTATACGTCAATATAATTTTTTTTAAGGCACAGATCACCTAAAATCACAATGGGTCAGGAGATGGGATGAGGGCTGGAATCTGTGGATCAAGGCAGCCAAGGGTGTCTGGGCCACTCTGACTCATCCTGTGTGGAGTTGTCCAGGATGCCACCCCTCTCTGGCCACCCCCTCTAGCCATCTACACAGAAGACAGGTCTTCTCCCCTGGGTCACATTCCCACCACACTCCCCATTACTGTCCCATCAATGTGAGGAACATGGAGCTGTTTGTCGGGACATCTCTGAAGCTGCACCTGGGTGTCCTCTGCTGTGAGTGAATCTGGATTTAGATTCACAAGTAAGGCCATAAACTACTTGATTAATTTATGTTGTATCATTACTTTTAGGCACATTAGGATGGCAGGGACATCCATAGTCCCTGAAAGGGAAACACAGAGACTGCATGTCCTTTTTCTGCCCCCTCACCTCTTCCTATCTTGGACTTCCCTGATAGCTCAGTTGGTAAAAAATCCGCCTGCAACGCAGGAGACCCCGGTTTGATTCCTGGGCAGGAAGATCCCCTGGAGAAGGGCTAGGCTACCCTCTCCAATATTCTTGTGCTTCCTTTGTGGCTCAGCTGGTAAAGAATCCACCTGCAATGCAGGAGACCTGGGTTCAATCCCTGGATTGGGAAGATACTCTGGAGACGGGAAAGGCTACCCAATCCAGTATTCTGGCCTGGAGAATTCCATGGATTGTATAGTCCATGGAGTCGCAAAGAGTCGGACACGACTGAGCTACTTTCACTTTCACCTCTTCCTATTACAGTGATATTCTGTTCTGGAAGACTGCAGCTATCATGGGTTATATTAATAAATCATGGGGGAGTGTTAGAATGGCCTAGAGTCTTGATCTTCCTGTAATAGGAGCCAATTTTTAAAATATTTATTTATTTGGGCTTGCCAGTTCCTAGTTGAGGCACTGGTGATCTCAGATCTTTGTTGAGACATGCAGGCTGCTTGGCAGCCACGCAGAAACTCTCAGTTGTGGCTTGGGTGATCTGTTCCCTGACCAGGGATCCAGCCTCATTCCCCTGCACTGGGAGTGGGAAATCTTAGCCACTGGATGACCAAGAATGTCCCCAGGGACCGATTTAATGTCTCCATTTCAGGCGCATGACTCTTAGCCTAGACTTGGCAGTTAGAGCTGCCCAGAGCCCGCAGGAACTCTGCAGCCCAGAGTTAAGGCTGAATTGAGCCAGAGAGGGGAGTGGAAAGGGAGGAGCCTTGCTCTTGTTATGATTCAGGCTTGTTTCCCAGAGGGCACTGCCTTCTCCCCTGAATAGTCAAGGGCTGATTCGAGGCAGGAACCAGGCAAGCCCAACCCAGGTGGCCCTAGTCTTCTAGGCACCCAGAGCTTGGCTTCCAGCCCACGCCATCCGCCTGCTCCTGGAGTACACAGACTCAAACTATGAGGAGAAGAAGTACACGATGGGGGACGGTAATGGCATCCTGTTCATGTCCTGACTTCTGCCCAACTCATGCTGGTTTGGTGCCAAGCTGCTCATATCCTTGTCCCTGTTGCCTCTGTTGCCCTCCACCAGCTCGAGCAGAGGCCTACCCCTTCCCAAACTCTTTGAGGGTGCAGCTGGCCTTCAAGGAAGGACATGAGAGCCCATAGCTAGGCCCTGTATCAGTCATGGGCTCCTGTTAGTATTGCACTAACTCTCTGTAAGCCTCACTCAGGTAGGTTCCAAATCCTTATAAGTGTGCTTTCCCCCAAAGCTCCCTGTGAGATTGGTGGTTCTGAATCCACATCCACCAGTGCAGGGAGTTTCGCCTCTGACTCTTCAGTGGGTCCCCTGGGAAGGAGGGCTGGGAAATTTGTTTCACTGTATGTTCTTTTTCACAGCTCCCGACTATGACAGAAGCCAGTGGCTGAATGAAAAATTCAAGCTGGGCCTGGACTTCCCCAATGTAGGTGCAGGAGCTGGGGTCTGTGGGAAGAAGTGGACAGTGTCTCCATCCATTTCCTTCCCCGGCTTAGAGGTTTCAGAATCTGGTGCCTTCTGCTCTGTCTCTCAGCTTCCTGGTCCTCTCCCCTTGCCCTTTTTATGATGTTCTGTGCCCCAGCTCGTCCCTCCATTTTACAGCGTATTATTTAGTGTCTACCATGGGCCAGGCTCTGTGAGTGCCAGGTTTCATCTCTACCCTTGGTCAAGGGAGGGGGTGCAGGGGAGTCTGGTGTTCCAAACACAGACTCCAGTGTGTTGCACAACAAAGGCCCTGTTGTTCTTCCAGTTGCCCTACTTAATTGATGGAGCTCACAGGCTCACCCAGAGCAATGCCATCCTTCGCTACATCGCTCGCAAGCACAACATGTGTAAGTGGGGCTGGGGAACACATGCTCACTCCCCTGGGCTGGGCTGGAGTGGGATGCTGAGGGTGAGTCTCTGTTGTGCGGCCACAGGTGGGGAGACAGAGGAGGAGAAGATCCGTGTGGACATTTTGGAGAACCAGACTATGGACGTCCGCTTGCACATGGCCAGGATCTGTTACAGCCCTGACTTTGTGAGTCCCCTCCCACTGGGCTGGGTTGCCAGAGTTTAAATGTAAGACAGGGTCCCATCTACACTGGGCCTTTTGCCACTTGAACCACTTGGTTCTTTTGATCCATGAAGCTTGTCCCTACAGAGTCCCCAGGGTGACTCTCAGAACCCCCAGAACATAAAATGCAAATTCTAATTCCCACCAATCTTAGGAAGAGTCCAGCCTCCCCTGGGTGGAAATTCAATTCCTAGATGGTATTTACCTCCTTAGCCCAGGTCCTCCTTCCTGGCATCTTAGGGCTCAGGAAGTGTGTCTTGTAGGCAGCCCAGGGTCAGACTTTGTTCCTTTCCCTCCTTCCCTTCAGGCTCTCAAATTGTCCTCAACTGTCCAGAAACTGTCCAGAAACTGCCCAAGCGTCCACACCGTTCTTGTCTCCCACACTGGAATGTAGGACTTCTTTCCTAGCCATTTTAGTGTTGATTGGCCTAAGTTCTGAGGACCGAGCTCCGCCAGGTCCCACAGCACTGCTGGTCTGACCCAGGGCAGGTGTCTGGAGCTGAGTGGTGACAGGTTCAGGGAGAGTGTGGTTTTGCCCTTTGCTTTCCCATTGCCTCTCACAGATGGGAGGTGGTCCCCATAGGAGTTTAGTGAACACAGGTGGGTTGAATTGCAGCGTGGGCATGAACACAGGTGCAGTCAGAGGCCATTGCTGCTCACCCGCAGCTGGGGTCAGACACAACCCTGGGAGGACTGCACTCTGTCAGAGAGTCTGTGTCTGAGGGTGATGACAGCTGTTTTTTGTCTAGGAGAAACTGAAGCCTGGTTACTTGAAGGAGATCCCTGAAAAGATGAAGCAGTTCTCAGAGTTTCTGGGGAAGAGGCCTTGGTTCGCAGGGAACAAGGTCAGTGGGATGGCTTCAGAGGAGGGAGAACTACTATTTTTTCTTACTCAGAGTTTGTTGCACATTCATGCTTTGTCTTTCTGCAGCTCACCTTTGTGGATTTCCTGGCTTATGATGTCCTTGACCGGCACCGCATATTTGAACCCACATGTCTGGATGAATTTCCAAACTTGAAAGACTTCATTGCCCGTTTTGAGGTGATTCCCCTGGTCCTCCCAGTATTTACATCTCTCTTCTCTTCCCTCTACTTTCGGATGCTTCCCTAATTGGAACTGCAGCGAGAAATAGAATTTATTGAGAACTTGGTTTATTCCAAGATCTCTGCTCAGCAGCTGACATACATGTTAGATTTAACTTTTATAACATTCCTATGGGGTAGAATGATTATCCTCTCCATCTTACTGATAAGGAATGAAGCTGAAAGGATAAGTAATTTCTGAAGGTCGCAGAACCAGTACAGACTCTGCTGGGCTCCCAGTCAGAGTGTCTGGCTTCTAGGGGCAGCAGTCAGTGGCTCTCTGTTTCTTGTATAAAATTGAAAAAAAGCTCAGGTTCTTTTGTTGACTGGGTTCACAGCTCTGGAAAGTGTGGATGAAGCAGAATCTTCAGGAGTTTGCATGCAGCTGGCATTTGTAGAGTTGAGACACAGGTCTTGATATGATACGAAGTAATAAAATGATATGAAGGGATAAAAACACAAACAGTGTTTTCTCCTGCTCTCCAGAAGGGTCTGTGGGTATTGGCTCCCTCTCTAGGGGTGTACTGAGATTGTCAGGGATGTAATTGGTGCTGGGATTTTCTTCCATATGTAGGTGCCTTCTTGGGAAGATTTTATAAGGATGCTTCTTACGATGGGCACTTTCTTTCCCTCCATGTCTTTCTTTCTTCCTTCCACTTACCCAAGATTCCATCTCAGAGATGGGGTAGTGCATCATTTTAAGTTATATTCACTGATCTGATCCTCTTCCCCGTATGAGGCACTATGTCAGGCATGGGGGATGCAGAAGTCACATAGTCCTGTCACCCAGCTCTGGGGCTGAGCGCAGCTGGAGAACTATGGGAACCGCGGGCTGTGTGGTGTGGGTGGAGCCACCTTGGTTCCGGAGGAGCGCAGTCTGACTGCACCTCCCAGCTCATCATTCGCCCTCAATCTACCAACTGGAGAGTAGCAAAGTCTCTTTATGATGGATTTGGGAATCTGAACCTCTAGTCCAATATGTTTTTCAGCCTACAATCTTGTTTTGTATTTCCACTCGCATCATGAAATCTGCTTCCTCAGCCAGTTCTCTTCAGCTCTGGTTTAGGTCCAAGGCTTGTTGCCCTGAGATTTTTGCAAGGACCGGGATGACTGCCCAGCAGGAAGGATGTGGGACAGATGTGGGCTGCAGTGTGTGGCCTGCTGGGGCCTGGGCTGTGCGGTACAGGCAGCCCCGGGTCTTTGGAGTCCTGGGAACTCTCGGGCACTGTTTGTTTTGGGAAGATGGTGCACAGGTGCACCTGAGCGTCTCACCGCGTGTTTGGCTGCAGCAGGACTGGGGATGAGGGAGGCTGGGGCTCAGCGAGAGTGGGCTCAGGTCCTGGGCCAGGCAGTTGGTCTGTGTGGCCTGGCCTAGTCTTGCTGCTCCACACCACCTGTCACCTTTCATCCACGTTTTGCTGGATGAGATCTGGTGTCTCTTTCAAGCTGTTTGTCTTCTCTCTAAGCCCCTTTGTTGTGATTGGGGTCCACCTGTGGTCAAGCCCTGGGAAGCCAAGAGCTTCCTTCTGACAAAGAGAATTGTTTTGCAGAATGAGAAGAAGTTGTTCTGTAGGGAGATGTCCCCTGGGGAGTGGGGGGAGGAGACCATAAAAAACTACAATGTAAATGCAGTGAGTTTCAGTCTTATTTGGGGGTCTTACTGAGGACTTGTAGCCTATGTGACAGCCTCTCAGAGAGCTCTGAGTAACTGCTATGAAGAGGTAAGGTAGAAGACAGTGGATATATACATTATCACCTTGAAAATACATATAGTTGAGAATGAAAAATTTGTCTGCCAAAGGCAGTAAACAAAGGATGTTGCAGCCATCAAGTCACTGCATTATAGTGTTCCCTGTGGTGGGCCATGAGGGAATTCAGGATGGAAACCTAATACCCACCACCTAGCCATCATCCACTGCAGCCGTACCCAGCAGTGTACCCAGCAGAGACTCAGGATGGGAAAACACAGGATACTGGCCTCAGATAGTTGACGTACATATCAAAGTAACGATTTCAGTGAGCCCAGACTTTTGTAGCTTCTTATACACAGAACAGTGCTAAATTCATTAACTTGAGATGTCTGATTTTCTTTAATTAACAGTAATCTTTGGATATTCCAACTACTTGGTTTTGTTACAAAACTCCGATACATCCTGGCTCCTTCCTTACCTCTTCAAGCCCAGGAAGCAGCCTCTCAGATAGCTGTAAGGGACTGCTCTGAAGTCCTCAGAGAATTACAGTATAAAACATAATTCTCAACTTTTAGGTTGTACATTTTTCCATGACATCGTCAAATATACATGTTGGTAAAAGATTGCTGCTAATCATCAAAAAACCAACATCTCAAGTTAATGATCTTAATGCTTTTCTATGTGTAGGAAGATGGGTGAATCTCAGGTCTTTGTAATTCTTCATTCAAGATGCAACCTAACTCTTTAGGGGACCCTGTGTCCAAAACACAGAATGTTTCATTCTGGTTTTCTCCGTCCTGAACTCCCTTTAAGGCACACAGTCTGTGAGTGATTGCCGTGGGTTGCAGCTTAGTCCTTTTCTTAGCCAGGTAGTGAGTGAGACTCTATTCTTTTTATTTACAGCTTCTTTAGGCCATAAATTTGACCAAGGTTTGGGAGGCATTTCATCACCAATTTGTCCCATGGTGCTAGGAAGACTCATTTCTAGGTCAGACAACGATTTCATTGATAGGTCATTTCTATGCTATATCTGGACACTGTTAATATACTAAAACTTCTCTGGATCATCTGTCTTACTAACTAGTCTATTATGACCCAGGATATGTTTCCCTTTGTCACTTCTTCCCATATCTAGAGTCGCACCATTACGATTAATTTTATATAGAGCTGTGTGTGTGCTAAGTTGCTTCAATTGTGTCTGACTCTTTGTGAGCCCACGGACAGCAGCCTGCTAGGCTCCTCTGTCCATGGGGATTATTCAGGCAAGAATACTGGAGTGGGCTGTGAAGCCCTCCTTCAGGAGAGCTTCCCAACTGAGGGATCAAACCTACATCTCTTATGTCTCCTGAACTGGCAGGCCAGTTCTTCATCACTAGGGCCACCTGAGAAACCAATATGGAGGTATATATATGATATATAGAGGTTTACCATCATTAATTTTATCAGAGACATGCTGCACAGAAGGTAATGCAAGAAACAATAATCTTATAAAATAATTAAGGTGTAAGTAATATAGCTAGTAACATTTTTAAGGTCACAGTACAGCAATGAAGGAAACAAAGCATGAATGATTTGAAAAAAACAGAGAGAATAAATTAAAACAATGATTAATATAACTGGTTGCAGTCTAGATCACGAGAAGCCATCAAGTCCAGAGAGGGGCCAGCTGGAGAGGCCAAATGCTGTAGGGATTAGATAGAAAGAAAAAGATAAATACTCCATCTTTGTTTGCAAAGGTATACTTTCTCAACTTGCTGCAAGTTATAGTAGGCGTAAGAGGAAATGTTTCCTCATATCCAGAGGACAAAGATTAAAAGCCAGCAATATTTCAAACAGCCATAAAATTATAAATTCAGTTCATTCAGTGCCATGGAATTAAATCTTGTTGACCTTGACTTTTTTTTGTTAGTAGTTTTATTAAGCCATCAGGTTTTCCATTTACAGTTTTGTAAGTTTTTCACTCAGTTCAGTGGAATTATTTAAAAGTTACCAGAAATGTGTATTTGTAAAAACATCCTTTTTATGAATCTTCAAGATCTACATTCTTTTAAAAAGAATCAGAGTACAACAATCAGTTTAGTTCAGTTCAGTTCAGTTGCTCAGTTATGTCCAACTCTTTGCGACCCTATGAATCACAGCACGCCAGGCCTCCCTGTCCATCACCAACTCCCAGAGTTTACTCAAACTCATGTCCATCGAGTTGGTGATGCCATCCAGGCATCTCATCCTCTGTCATCCCCTTCTCCTCCTGCCCCCAATCCCTCCCAGCATCAGGGTCTTTTCCAGTGAGTCAACTCCTTGCATGAAGTGGCCAAAGTATTGGAGTTTCAGCTTCAGCATCAGTCCTTCCAATGAACACCCAAGACTGATCTCCTTTAGGATGGACTGGTTGGATCTCCTTGCAGTCCAAGGGAGTACAACAATAACTGCCCATAAATGTCAAAAGACAAATGATCTGATTACAATATAACTGTCAGTGAAATTTTGTTATTTCTGTGACATACAAAATTTTAATACAATAACTAGAATTATAACACATAAGATGCCAGGACACTTTTAGTAATTTTATATAATAATAGTTACCTATATAGTATAATCTAAAAGTGTTAATTATAACTCATTTGACAACATTTCCCATGTTACTTAATATACTGAAAAGTGTAATTAATATCTCTTTTTGAGTTATTTTAGGGCCCTCTGAAGCATTCCAAAGTGAGTTAGATGTCAAAAGAACTTCGTTTAGAATTTGACTTGGGGAAGGTTTGTCAAAGATATCAAGTTTTTAAAGCACTTGATAAAGTAGGATCATAGGTCCCAGTAAATACTTATTCATTAACCAGAGAGGCAGTAAAAGATTTTAAAGTCAAAATATGTGAAATTATAACAGATCACTTAAGAGGTACAGAAACGTTTTACATTGTTACCAAAAGATCAATATTTCAAGAAAACTTTGTCCTCTCAATGGAAAGAAAAATCAGATTCTAGTTTTGCACCACCTGACATTTAATACTGAGCTTTATTTGCTTAGTTAAACTCATTCTAATCTTAGCCAGACTGGACGGCACATAGAATTCCTTTCTAAAGTTATCTTTTCTTTCTCACAAGCCTTTTACAACTTTCTATATCCATATTAGTGTGTCTCTCATTTTCTTTCCCATTTAGAAATAACCAGCTTTTTTTTAAAAAAAAAAAAAAGGAAAAAAAGAGAAATAATCAGTTTTAGCACAAAATCACTTTCTTTTCCCTTAACAAAGTACATTTCCATTTT